TCACGCAGGTGACAATTTGCTAAAAATATATATCTACAACTAACAAAATGCTAACCCTAACCCTATGTGATGTCGGGTAAATAGTTTTTCGGGAAAGTGGGTTTTGGGAGAGTGAGAATCAACGTATATAAATTAATTAATTTATATGTTAGCCAAAATATAATCAAACCAAAGCTATCAATTATTTTAACAATATTACACTACTACATTTATTATATATACGACAACTAATCATAAAACAATTTATTTAATTTATTATTTAGTTTGTTGAGTATTTTATATATCACAGTACATCCGATATGTATAGTGGACAGCTTTTGTATCAGCTTTGAGAGGTTATCGGATTTAACTCACCCACAGAAAATTTTTCAGCATGTGACTTTAGCCAATCAGATAAAAGGATCAGGTGTAACATAAAAATCTCATCTTTTTAAAAAATCACTAATAACTCAAAATTTTGCCTATGAAACTGCCTTCTGCATCCTAACAAAAAAAATTCCTTGTGAAATTTTGATATAAGCTAGGTTATATTTCTTACCCTAAAGAAGAAGCTTATTACTTTAAAATCTTTTGCTTAATTTGATTATTTTGATTTTACATTACACCTGGTTCTTTGATCTAATTGGCTAAAAATCACATTCTGAAAATTTTTTGTGGATAAGTTACCAGACTCTACCAATAGCTCACTGGTCACATGATTATAAATAAATATATTATATATCTACTTGCTTTACAAAAAATATCAAAAACTGCTATATGGGACCACCCGCAGCAAAAAGAGGCATTGAGACAATCATGTGATTTTGAGAAAATCACGATTTAAAATCATCACATGATTATTTTTAATATAGGAATAACGAAGACAAATTTTAAAATAATACACTTTTTATTAGTAGACTTTATAAAATAAAAATATTTTTAGAAAGATAAGACTTATGAGCAAATTATTATCATAAAATCTCAAAATCTGATTGACTGGCCCATTGCCCCCTTTTGCTGTGGTGGGTCCCATATATGAATATATATTTTTTTTAATATTAAGGTGATCACTAGGGGTCTAGTACATTTTATTAACTTATGGTAACTACTATGTGAGTACTTTCAACTTTGTTACATTAATGAAAGTATTACTACTCTAATTAACTTAGTGCTGTCAAATATTTTCACTGAAGAGGAATTGCTGTGAAAGCACCTTAGGACTTTAAAACAGACACACATTACTATATAGAAGGGCCTTTATCCTTATGATAAACCTACTAAAGCAGTCTATATTTTATACATGTATCATCTAGATTTTCGGTAACTTACATCTAGGTCACAGCCAAGTACTTGTGACATTTTATCTTCATTACCATCACTTACTCCTTACCCTTGCAAAGTTTATCCAAACCTAGGCACCCACTTTACAGACTATCAACAGTACTTTAATGCCAATCATTGGTGCTTCAAACTTCCAATCTAGATGGTCTGAGAGAGACCAATGGCTGTTCTCTGGTATTCTGAATAAATACTTTTACTTCTAGTTATCTAGCAACCTGGTTAGTGTAATATTTTTGCCAAACATATGGTCCTCATTCAGTTTGCCTTTGGTGTTCAGTTCTTCAGATGATAGTTCTTTATATAGCACTATCAAAGATCTGTACTACCTCTCTACTTGGGATTTCTCAAGCAGGTTTCTGTATCTCCCAATTCCTTGAATTTATTTGGCTGTTTTACACAGAATTTGTGCAACTTATATATTACACTATATTCCACAACCTCTTAATACAAGTTGGTGAGACCAAGATTATAGATGCTAACCTGATCAATATATTATACAGTTTTACTAAAACACATTTCACAAATTCGAATTTCGTTACCAGTGGGATTCAAACTCTTGTCTTGCCGCTTGGGGTGTGACAACTTACCAACTTCACTAATATATTGTTTAAGAAAGTAATACAACACTACTGAAACTTGAATAATAAGAAAAGTGGTGAATATGTGAAAAGGCTGTGATAAAGAATTGCTTTACCTGATTGAAAGCACCTCTAGCACTGTAAAATAACTAGCTAAAGAAGGTAATTTTATAAAGGTAGGTTGGCTAATCTAGTATATATAAAAGTACTAAGTCAGAGCTCTGATCATACTGTGCCTATATAGAAGTCAATGACAAAAGAAGTCAGAATATACCAATAATAATACAACATCAATCAATACTATAGATAAAAGTCCAAGTTGAAAATTAAAGTAAATTAGGTTTTTCTTTCTAGTAATATAACACAAAGCATATAGTTGTAAGTAGTACTATAAGGAGTTTTTAGTGTTAGGCTGGTCTTTAACAAAATAGATTTTAAAATAATATTACAAAATAAGGTTCTAGCAATATACTATATGAGAAAGTACAAATTAGTTAGCTAGTATCACTATACTAAAAAAAGAACATTAAGTTCTAAGATTGGCAAACCAGTGGTGGTAGCACTTGAGATACAGATTAGTAGTACCTGGGCAGATAAGTGAAAAAGATCAACAGAGAAGTATACTTTCAAAAGGATGGGTATCATAGGTCTTGATTGGATATAAAAAGTCTATTCTCATTAGTGTAATATCAACTCTGTCATGTAGCAAACCTAACTAGACAGCAAGTTTTTGGCTTGAGATATAGGCTGTAGAAAGGCTACCTTCATCAGCTATGATTATACTAATAGAGACCTTAAGAGAACTTGCAGTAGATTATATTTACAAGTATACCAAATTAAAAGCTCATTAGGAGCAGATATCTGATAGAAGTTATAACTAGTGTTAGTAAAACATGATAGAAATATAGTAATTACTAGACATAGCTAGTTGAGAAGTGATAATCTATATAAGATATGTATAAAGCATAGACTACTCTAGTAGATTTAGGTTGTAAATAAATTAGTTTAAGTCTTTGTAATAGTTTTAAATAGATAAAATAGCATATATAATCATAGTTTATTGTTATTAATATATTAATAAAAACCAGAAGCATGACCTTATCTTAAATACAGTCAGACCCCCTAAATGCACCCTCTAAATGCAGCACCTCCTAAATATATGATATCAGCCTGGCCTATAGTGGGACTTATTAAAAATACATATTCTTTATTTTTTTTTTACTATGATTAGCTTCATAAATAAATTAGTTATTTTATAGTAATCTTTGTATTTGATGATACGTCATGTCTATATTTTATGATATTTTCTGTATTTTATGATATGTCACATTTATATTTTATGAATAACAGCATTTTTTTATAATTGTCATAAGAATTATATTAGAACAGATATAAAAAATAGCAATGAAAAAAGGCTGCATAAACTGCTTTATTATTTAATTTGTATAAATTACATTATAACAATAATTTAATATTGATTAATTGTAATATTATCGCCATTTAAATAATAATTATTAATGATCATAGTACCTTGCTCATTATTAGATACATTTTGCAACCCAGATTGTGATGATTGTAATGACCTTTTTCTACTAAGAGTTGGATTTTTTTTAGTCGCATTAACATGAAGAGGCAAATTCGGCTTTGTACTATTTGTTAAAGAGCTCCGAAATTCAGAATATACAGTACAGTGCTTTTTGGTGGCATATAGGAGGAATTCAGATAATTATCAAGCCTCTAAAATAAATTTAATTTATAAGTTTAAGTATAACTTAAAATAAATAAAGTTAAAGATTTTACCAGATCTTGATTTTTATTTAAAGAATCATCGACAACATTATTATCTTCATTATTTTGAGATTCCGGAAGGTCAACAACATTAATTAATGTAGACAATGCATCTATTTTTTGTTGCTCACTTGGTCTTGCATATATACGATAAGACGATTTACTTTTATGTCCGGTTATTGACATTAAGGTAGCAATTAGAATGCCTTCACGAAATAGATATATGATTGGTGTAGTTCTTCCTGAATGATTAACGATATCACGATTTTTGAGATTTATTCCAACTTCATTACAAATGTTTTTTATAAAATTACTGCATGTATTTAACCCCAGTTTAGCGTCAAAATACCATTTACCATTATTAAATTCTAAATTAAATAATTGTAAGCTTAATATAAAATTTATTAAATAAAAATAAATAACATTACAAAATACCATGAATATTATTATTAATTTTAAGATGAAGAAATTGACATGCATAATTCATGGGTCTTTTGCTTAAATAAAGCTTAATATCGTGAACAGGCCCCAAATATCCTTCCAGATCTGCTGGTACAGGTATAATAAGTGAATCCAAATTTCCTTCGATACCACCAGGATCATTTTTTTGTAAAAATTTAGTAAACCGAATTCCTCCATTATCAAGAAAAGTAAACTGTGTAATCTTCATTTGACTATGTTCACCACCACGTGGAGCAAAAAGAAGACAACACCATATAAAGACCTGATTTTGGAGACCTTTAGCTGTATTAATTAACAATGCTTCATAAATAAACATTATCTTTAATTCATCAGGTGACAATGGATCATGGTGCTTGGTAGTTTTTCTGGATTGCTTTAGTACTTTCATTTTACCATTAAGAGCTTCCCACAATAAAGGAAATTCTTTTTTATTGTTAATTATAAACTTTTCACTGCCACCCGGATGTTTGTAAATATAATTACTTAAACAATTATAAGCATTAACTAATGAAGAAGGAGTATAATCACTCCCATTTTGAATTTTTCGTACACCACAAAAAAATTCCATCATTTCTCTCTCAAGCTGGTCCTTATTAGTAACCGTTTCAATACCATAACAGTATCCAACATTATTTCGCCACCGATTTAAGGCTTTTACCCATTTTTTCGTAGCTTTATGGATATTTTCAGAAATACAAGACTTAATTATCTCATCAATGTCCTTGTCAGTAGGCAAGTAATCATCATGGCCCTTAATATTTAGTTTATTTTTTTCCAATATATCAGTAAAATTAATTTAAATCAAATAGTAAATAAAAACTTTAAATCCTAAATTATAACCTACCATCCTAAGGACTTGCTACAGGATTAAAGCAGAATTGGCATGTACTATGAACTTGAATTAACATTAGCAGTACTATGAACTTGGATTAGTGTTGGCTGTACTATGGACTTGGATCAGTGTTGGCAGTACTTTGGGCTTGGATCAGCGTTGGCAGTACTATGGACCTGAATCAGTATTGACAGGTGTGTATTAATAGACTTGAAGCTTCGTTGGCAGGTATTAATAGACTTTTATCTTCATTGCAGGCACTAATTGCAAGATTCGGTAAGCCTTTAAAGGCTAGACATCCAATACTAAGGATTATAATATATATTTTTGGGGTACACACTTCAGGTTTGTAAAAAAGAAAGTACACACTCAAATTTTAGAATATATATTCTTGGGGGCATAGCGAAAGTATTTAAAGCGCCAAAAAAAAAAGATTATCAAGTGAAAATCTATTATGCCATTGTTTCAAAGTTTAAGTTACACAATTACGTATTAATTATTGAATCGCTGATCGTTGTAAAAAAAAAATAAATCTGTTATTACATACTACGCAGCAATAACTGCTATATTGTGTACTTAAAAGCTGCTGGCCCTTTCGCTCATTAGAAAAGTATGCAAGCATATGATCTGCCGCTTCGTGGCAAATCATATACTTGCACACTTTTCTAATGAGCGAAAAGGCCAGTGGCTTTTAAGTACACAATACTTTGGTATTTTATGTTCTCTTCCTAATTGTTCAGTGACCCAGCCGTATCAGCTAGGATCACCAACCAATTAGGATCGACCATAAAATACTACAGTTATTGCATGCTTCGCATGCAATAACTATTTATTATTCTGTAAATGTATACAATTTTTTTGGCCTATTTATAATAAGCTCTTTTGTAAATGCATTCACATAATGTCGAACCAATCAAATCCTTCAATGGTTTACATGACTCATGGTACTGCGTTGTCCAGAAAAAAGATTTTTTGCTAGCTTCATGATGTCTAAAATTGATTGTCTGTAAAGTTATATTTACAATAATAAGCATTAGAACTTTACTTTGACTTTCATTTGACTTTTGTTTGACTTTCATTCTGACTTTTATTTTGACTTTCTCTTTGACTTTGCTTTGACTTTTGCTTTGACTATCACTTTGAAAATTTTTACTGTGTTGAATTTACAAAATATAATTTGAACTAAACATGATAGTTATATTGCTAAAAATTATATATAGTTATTTAGTGCCTCATATTATGGAAGACATAAGTTGTATATAATACTTGTTCTGCAAATATTTTTATTATTATAAATGTCAATACATTCAATGTTATTAAATTTTTAGCTAAATGTTTGGTGTGTTTGGTTTGTGCAAAAACTTATAGAAAAGGTTAAATATTAATAAGAAATATAAAAGGCTTCAGAATTAAAATAGATATCAAATAATATGAGTAGTTAAGTGAGTAGATGCCAACATTAAAATAGTTAAGAATTTTTTCAAAACTTTGTTCAAAAAATCATGATTTTATTAATATTTGTTGCAGAAGTTTTTAATAAATCTATTTCTTCAAAAGTGTTTAAGTGCTACTATCTGTTTTACAATTTTCGAAATGATAAGTTTTTAATTTTTTTTTATTATTCGCTAGCGAAGAAGCTTTGAAAGCTTCATATCTCTGTATTTGATCTGCAATATTTGTATCACTATAATATTTATATTAGTTATGTACCTGATTATAAATGTATACTTTAACTGTTAATGGGAGAGTTTAAGAAAATAATTGAGATAAAGGCCAATTTAACTCCAATAATATATAGGGATAAAAGATAATCTTGGAGAAATGAAGAGAATATGATACTTTGAAATGAAGGCTTTAATATTGATAGGGTGAGAATAGGATAGTGCAACTACAAGTGATGCTGTTAAAGATATCTTAATAAGTAAGGCAGATGATAATCAAGTGATGTTAGTGATAACTTTAAGTCTATATGAGGGATTATCAGGGTCAAATAGCCAATTATAAGTCTTATTTTTTACTGCAATTCTCACAAGTCACTAAGGTGAATTACAATATCTGATTCCACCAATGTTCCAGAATCCAAGTCTTAATAAGCTGAATCAAAATTACAAGTCAATTCAGTCTGTTAAATTGAGTCTTAAAGGGGTTTATTAAAGTTACAAGTTGAATTTAAAGATGAATAGCAATATCTGGTTTCAGAACCTTAATAAGCTGAATCGAAGTTACAAGCCAATTCAGTCTGTCAAATTGAGTCTTGAAGAGGTTTATTAAAGTTACAAATTGAATTCAAAGATGAATAACAATATCTGATTCTACTAACATTCCAGAATCCGAGTCTTAATAGGCCAAATTGAAGTTACAAGTCAATTTAGTCTGTCAAATTGAGTCTCAAAGGTGTTTATTAAAGTTACAAGTCAAATTCAAAGATAATACACAAGGGAATATTCAGATAATTATTTATTTAATTGAAAGTTGAACAAGAAATTTATTTGATGATTAATGGAAAGATGGTATCAATGATAAAATGAAAAAAGTTATCCTTTATTACTTGGTATGATCAGTCTTTAAATACATTTTGAATTTTGGTTATGTTTATACTAAGCCATATACATGCAGATATTTTAACAAGGAATAGAGTTTATTTACAATAATAAAAAAAAATAAAAAATAAAATTTTAATTCACTACAATATATATGTACAGTATCAATTTATATAATCTATATTATACTGAAATTATAACAGTAGTAAACAAAAAATTCATTATCTGAAAAAAATTACATATAACTAATAATATGTCACGTGACAATAGATGTATAGTGATCTTATTGGCTGTTCTCTAATTGCAGCTCTCTCTAAATATACACTTTAGAGCTGATTCTGATAGCATGCATTTAGAGAGGTCTGACTGTATATAAAAAAAAACATCTCTATCTAAAACTTTTTTATAATAAGTAAATTACTCTTAAGCTTCTACAAAAGTTGTAAAAATCTAATAGTAGTAAAAATATTAAAATTAGTTTGATAATTCTTGAGAAATCTTTAAAAAACTTCAGCTAATATAAAATTTCTTTAAAAAAATTAATTTTTTTTAAAAAACTTTTATATATTAATGAAAAATTTTTAAAATTTTTTTTAGTACAACTAGATTAATTTTAACATTTTTACTACTATTAAATATGTTTTGATGAACTTACAACTTTTATTAAAAGCTTAAAAGTGATTTGCTTAGTATAAAAAAGTTTTAGATAGAAATACTCTATATTCAAATCTATAGCAAAATTTATATAAAAAAACATTTTGAATCAGATGACTAGAATTTTAAATTTTAATTTTAGCTATATTTAAAGAGTAAGCTTCTGATAAAAAAATCAAATAATAAATAATACTGCCCTAATTGATTAATCTTTAATATAGGTAGACATATATAATTATTATACAATTATCATATATTAAATTAACTATTTTAATTGATAATCCACCTATGAACTGAAGAATAGGCAAAATGAAACGTTTACCATCTAAAACTTTTTTTCTTACTAAGTTAATGACACATGCTCATTAATTGAAATTGTAGAGCTTGTCAAGACGCATCTAACGGTGGTTAGATCATCCAAATTGGCCCAGTAGATGGCGAGATATCGTCGAAATACAATTAGCTGACTATATAAAAATCTGTGATAGAAATTACATATTGTTATAGAATGAGTTGTAGTATTAGTTTTATTATTAAGTTTATTATTAGTTATTATTAGTATATTATTAGT